GGGCTTGTCGCGACTATTAATAGCGCGACTTGGTTTTAGTGTTCGACACTGTTCTTTTTTACAGTTCCTAAGTTCAGGTCCGAAAATTTATTATTATTTTTCTGGTTATAAGGTCCTTAAAATGTTGAAATTTAATTATTTTTTATATATATATATTATATGATATATGGATATACTAATTATTAGGTTAGTTAGTTATTTTCCCCCCCCACTATTTTATTTACGTAGAGTTTAATTATATTTAGATTCAAAAATTAATTTATTTATTTGTTGATTACTTTAACTTTATTTCACGTTTACTTTGATATTCGGAATATTAGACCCGTTTCGAAAAACTTTTAACGAAGTCGTCAGAGGTAAAAAACGTACCGCTTGGTCTTATTAGAAAATATGACACCGTTTACTTGTTACGTCGGTTTATTATTGTGTTACTTGTGTCGATTGTTGTATTATGTTGAGGTGAAAAATAGAACTGGAGAATTACCGTGAAACCCGACGGAAGACTCTGTATTAGTCTAGGTCAGGCCCACCTATACACCATACATATTCCGAGTGAGAGTCTCATCTGAGGTCACGACCGAGGACTCAGACAAAGGCCCGAAACCCAGAATCACACGAGTGTTACCTCTTAGAACTAAGTGGTCCATGCATCATAACACTACACCCTCTTCCTCAAAAGTGTCGGGAGTCACGTTACTTAGTTCTGTATACATGACGGAAACTCTGTCGTGGGTCTTACTCGGGCCCAGGGTCAAACCGTGGGTGACGTTCGCAATATCACGACAGTTCCACCTCTCTGCAGCGGTCTTCGGACCCTTAAGTCGGTCCAACCACTCCCGGTTCCGTTGTAGTAACGTCACCTAGGTGACTTTTACCAGCGTTTAGGTGTACAAAGTGGAGTAGTGTCCCTAGGAGTCCTTTCATCAGTGGATTGGTTTAAAGAGACCGGTCAACACTCTCACGACCTCTGACTCAGCGACTAGAAGGTCCGGACTCACCCCTTCAAAAGGTTTACAAGGTCTGTTTTCACTTTCGTACAGGTAGGATAAAAGGACCGGAGGACCAGGTGTTTCCGCTTCAAACGGAGAACTTTTCGAAGGTTGAAACAGACGTTGTGTTTTATACAACCGACAAAAGAAGAACTTCACTCCACAATAGTCCGAACCCAAGTCATCAGACTTTTTTACAGTGTGCTCCATCCCGGTTCAAACGCACTTGTACACACGTCCGTATCATTAGATGTTCTTAATCTAAAAAAAGTTTATGTGACTCTTTTCTCTTTGTGTTTCTTCCCTCTTTTCTTGTCTCTCTCTGTTCTGCCTCTCTCGTATCAGCTCCCTCCCCACAGTATGTGTAGGTTTACATACACATGTTTAATAAAAGTATTTGTGATGATCCCATTTTATCATGTCATTTTATTTGATAAGGTTTTTGCTTGTTAAACAGTTAGTGGATTTGGTTTATTATTGAATACAAATCAAACCGAGAATGAGGTCAATTAAACCTATACAGTGTTAATATTTAATGGGCCCCGGGCCACTTTGTACTATAAAAATTGGGCCTCAAGGTCAAAAAGGTTAAGAACCCCTGGTCTAGCACATTTCTATTTTTATATCATTCTTGAAACTGCAGCGCGTTTCTCCTAATGTAAGTGTTTTGGGCCGTTACTAAGACACCTCTCAAACATCACCTCCAGAATTGTTCTTCTCTTGAAAACATATCCATGCATAAGATGCCACCCCTGATGTTTAACGTGAAAAGTAAAAAACCTTACAGCCACAGGTAAGGATTTTATAATTAGAGGTAATTAAATATTGAATGCAATTTAAGAAGGTTTTATGAAACTTAAGGCCCTGACACACCTACCTGATTTTGAGAGTCAGACGCCGTCGGGCATTCGCGGCGCCCTACTCAGGTTGATGTGTCCCGCACCGTCGTTGCTTTACGGCACATTTTCACACCTCCCGCACCAAAGAAAGTCGGCCAAAGAAATCAATCTGATTGGCTGTTGCCTCTTTTGAATGACAAATACACACTACTGCTTCCTGCTGGTAAGGACAGTTATTGCTACTCGTCGACTGAAGTCTTTGCGGTGTGTTCGTAGGCGGGCAGCGTAGCCGACGCAGGCGACGTAAAAGTCGGGACGCCTTCGGTACGTGTTCTTTGGTCTCAGGTTGGTGTGTAGCGGCCTTTAGATGCTGGCACATGTTGAGTTTTTAAGGCAAGAAACTGGATTTGTATTCAGTCATTGATTTAGATGAAAACAATGTAATCAAATGTATTTGTGTGCACATGAGGGAGTGAGAAAACAGTGTGTGTTAGTGTGTGTGAGTGTCTTTACCAGGTCTGGAGGATTGCCTGCAGTAACAAGTCTGCGGCAGATCACTGAAACCTAATAATTGGATATCTAAGGAAACCAGGCGGGTAAATAATAAATGTACATCTTGTGTAAAACCAGCCCCCTTTCCTCTAAAACATGATATTGGTTCAACATAAAAACACACTGAGGATGCAGAGGCTGTAAAGCATTTACCCTTACATGAGAGCACATCATCAAACCTTCATCTGCTTTTTGAAATACATCTCACTTCTTTTAAATAAAACATAAAAGTAATTCAGTATGTTTATAGCTAAATGTGACTCACATTGCTGTTAAAGGGCATGCAGGCACAAAACAAGAGGCAGAATGATGATAATGACTTTCCAGTTATGTTGGAGGAGTCAGGTGTTATCCGCATTCATTCATTTGGTGTCAAAGCTTCCCTAGGCGGCCATTTTGTGACGTCAGATGAAGTCACCTGAAGCCTGGCTCCTGATCATTCACTGTGTGGGGGTCACTTTGCCGTCTTTTCCCACTGGGAACCAAAGCCCTGCATGTTGTCCTAAATGTCACCCCCAAAATGATCCAAACTTTGGATTTACCCTCCTCAAAAAGATGTGCTTGTAAGGACCTTTATGGAGATAGCATTGAGGTCCTATCATGTTTTTCTAACTTAACCTGTTAACCCTTTGGAGTCGACAGTCACGCCGGCGTGATCAAATCACATGACCTGTTCAAGCCGGTGCCGCATAAAAACAACAGTCCGGACAGCATTGCCGTGTGTTTCTGTCGAAAGTACTGGCTTGAAACTATATCCCAGTCTTTGTGTCATGCAAAAAGACCCAGTAAACACGGATATATGATGATATAAAGTTAATACATTTCAAAAGTATGAAAAATGGAAGCACATTTGAATATCTTCGCCGTATTTGATCATTTTACGAAACGGAAAATACTGGAAACTGTAGATCCTGCTCAACAGGATGTATTTACCAGGGAGGGGGTGAGGTAATCAGGTAAACGGAGTGATACGAAGCGAGACGAAGAGGGACGGCGGGAACCAAAGAGAGGTGGCGGGAAATGGAGAGAGACGAAGACAGGCGGCGGGAGACGAAGAGAGACGGCGGGAGACTGCGATTGAAGTAAAGTGACAGACACACATTGAGAATTTAGATATAGTTAGATAGATTTAGAGTTTTGAAGATTCAACGATGATAAAGAGAACTCTGAACGTTTGTCAAGCTATAAGCTTGTTTTTTGACATGGAGGAGGAGGAGGAGCCTGTGATGTTGCCCTCTGTGTCGTTGACAGAAACTGCTTTGAAGCGTGGCACAGATAAAGACAGAAAACACAGATTTTTGTACATAATGTGTATATATATATATTTGTATTATATTTATAATAACACTTTTGCCTTATCAGAATGAAATCCCATGTACATTATTTAAGCTTTTAAATGTTTTGTTGTGCCTACTGAGTCACTGTTGACAGAACTTGAGAAATGAGGAAAAAAAGCCTATGGATACACCTGTTATTTGTTCATAAAATTTGTATATAGGTTCATGCTACCTCAATCAAACTTTCACATTATCATAGTGACATCCCATGTATATATTTCCAGCTTTCAAATGGTTTCGTTGTGTATGTTTGTGTTACCTATATGAAAAATAATATCGTTTTCAAAATCTGTTTTTTTGTGATTTTGGGTCCAAAATGTTCATATAGTATCTCAAAATGAAATAAATAACTATCAGGTTATATAGGTGAGGTTGTCCTTAAAAAAAAGATACCAAACATTGACATGCCAAAAATGTCTTAATGGGGTTTAGTAAGACCAATCAAAAGTATGCGAAAACAGCCAAATTAGCCCAGGACTCCAAAGGGTTAAAATATACTATCAAAAGAGGATGGGTCAAATCAACGAAGAGGATAGGTCAAAGAATTAAACACCTTCTGGAGACTAGGCGGTGGAATCGAAGGAATGTCCCCAGAACTACACATTGTACAAAAAAAGTATGTGTCTTTGGCATGCACCTTTGATCTCAGAGTGGACATAATCTCTCGCTCTCACATTTGAAAGGTTGCAGTTTTGTTACTAATGGATCATCAGACAGCATTCAAAGGGACACAGAGACATTGGATTAACCAATATATTGAAGTTCTTGCAAGCAGCATTTGTTATAGTTTTAATGCCAAGGAAGACCACTTATGTCCAAAACGACACACGGTAAGGAGGGAGGGCTCATCGTTAGGGATTTTACATACCTGTACCGGTACCGGTACTATTTCATCGACAGTATGTTTTAATACTGCTTATCGATACTAGTTCAATAATTTGCAGTTATTAAACTAAAAGAAGACAAGTGAGTGCACTTGCAAGACTGAGCACCAAGTAAAATCAACACAGATGCAACAGAATAACCTTGGCCTTTGACATAGTCGCTCAAGTCACATTTAAACACAGCGGCATCGCTCAGAGAGCGATGCAGACACTATTAGCAATATTTGCGACTAACAGTATCGCAAACACGGTTTTAGCCATTCACCTGAAGGTTGTCTCAGGTCTGCTATGCAATCATATAAGTTGCTTGTGTCACCCTTACAGCAATAATTGTGGGGTTTACATAGATTGCAACTTGCAAGCTCTGTCGACACTGATATCATAAAAATGCAACTAGATCAGGGATTGATACGCTCTGTCCGAATGGATGCAGGAGGTCTGACCAAACAATACAGTAAGAGCCCTGATTTATAGATATGGAGCTGTGGCAGGTACAGTGCAATCAAGGTCTCAAACCGGACTACGCATCAGCACGGCATGAGGTCCCAACCAACCAGAATGTGCTTAAAGGGTTTACAACCAAGAAGTAGAGTAACATGAGACTACGATAGCAGCACGTTTGTCCAGCGAGCTTTAGACTTGACACCGATACCGTCCAAATAGGTACGCTATTGACTTAGTACGGTTCTCAAAGTACCCATCCCAACAGTAAGACTTGTAGACGTTTTGACTGACCTGACACGCCACAAGACTTGAGACTGTGCTTGGACTTGCAATAGCTTCGGAAGCATACATCTGATGCAGTGACAAGTCTGTACCATGGAATCTATTTTTCATCTCGGGGCTATGGAAATAGGGACCAAACCATACTAGGGTGGGTCCGGAGGGGATCCTCCCCCGGAAATAAAATACTTGAGAAAGACCCCCTTAAGTTATGACTTCTGGTGATGTTAGGAGGGGGGGGGGGGGCGACAAATTGATGCTATAAAATATGAGATAATCTCCAGTGTTGGTAGCTATGATCATTGAATCTACCAAAACTGTGCAAACAGTTCAGTAGGAGGGCCCACACAAACCTGCGGGCAGAAACCACTGGTGGCTTTGCGGAACCACTCAAAATGATTTAATTCCCATTTAAAATCAGGAGACCTAAATACAAACCCCTTGTGTGTGGTGTGTGTGTGTGTGTGTGTGTGTGGTGTGTGTGTGTGTGTCGTGGGTGTGTGTGTGTGTCGTGTGTGTTGTGTTGTGTGTGTGGTGGTCGGTGTTGGGTGTCGTGTCGTGGTGTGGTGTGTGTGTGGTGTGTGTGTGTGTGTGTGTGTCAGTGTCCAGTGTCACGTGTCAGTGTCATACTCTGGGCCGAAACCTCCCGCGAATTTCGCGGTGAGACTCCCCGATTTCATTGACTCTTTCCCCGGTCTTCCTCCGCGGGGTCATACTTCAACCCCTCCGCCGCATTTCTCTCCAACTCTGCGCTGATTTCTGACAAAATAGATTACTCCACAGACTGTTCTCCACATCGGACTTTAATACAGC